AGCACCTTACTCTTGGGCCCTGGCACCTGAATCCAGGCTGTGATCTGCCGGCCACACAGGTCAGCAAAGTTGTATATGAGGAAGGTGGTGAGTGGGACAAAGAACTTGGTGGTCCACAGTGAGCCTGAGCCCTTGTCGACAGACTCGATGTTGGCGGAGATGGCGGGGAAGAAGAGGCTGGAGATGCAGAAGAGGTAGACAATACAGAAGCCCAGGCCGGAGGTCTTCTTCAGGATGGGGCGGAGGGGTGGCGTGTGGGAGTTGCTGGATCTAGGGGCCATCAAAGGACTGTTGGGGGAGTCCGGGGGTGGTTCCCCTTCACCAGAAAACACGTGGGCTGGACGAAGAGGCCTCATGTAGTACCTGCAGGTGGGGAGAGATGTGTGTGGTCAGAGGGCCTCCGTAAAGCAGGTCACTTTGGATTTCAAGGAACAAGGAGCAGGAGACCTCAGAGTCAGCACAGCCAGGGATGGGTGTTTCCAACAGGACCTTTAGGCCCTGCATGTAAAGCCTAGGCCCTATACAGCCCATCAGCCCTGGGATTCCCTGAGACGACGTATGCTGTTGTCGGGAGGACCAAAGGAAGACCTGAACTATCCCTGGCCTGCATTCCAGGCTGGACTCCAGTCCTTTGTTCTGTGGTGGTGGCCACCCCACGAGCAGGGACAGAGGAAACCAGCACTGACCACTACACGGTGAGCCTAGGCTCCATTCCTGGCACCTGTTCTGTTTGTTTGTATTTGGAGGGGACAGGTAGAGATAAAATAGCATTTAAAAATATAAACTTTTAAAATTATAAAATAACACATGCTTGGTGCAATAAACCCAAATAATACAGAAGAGAAATGATATAATAGAAAGAGAATTCTCCCTGCTCCTACCTCTGTTCTCACTCCATAGTGGTGCTGACCATTAACAATCTCATATATATCGTTCCATGCATGTGCAAACACCATGCACACACACACACACATATACACACAGTTTCTTAAGTAAAAGTGGGTTCAAACTATACATATTATAAAACTTTCTGCAACAGTGTAACGGTATAATGCCTAAATGCATTATATAAGTAATAAAATAATATATATAAATATATAACTGCCTAAATCATGCATGAATATTATACATAAATGCATACACATAATTGCCTAAAGAACTGTATCTTGTGGCCATCCTTTCACATGGGGACACGTGGCTCTATGTCTTTCTGTTGTGTTGCTGCATAATAGTTCACTGTATGGATATACAATTTAATTGTTCCCTTACTGATGGACTTTCAGGTTGGCTCCAATTTTTCACTACTACAAATAATGTTGTGATGAATATCCCTACAATAAATCCCTGTACGTGTATACTACTATTTTGTAGTACAGATTTTTAGAAGAGGACATCGCTGGATTAAAAGGTTTGTACCTTTAAAAGTTTGATAAATATTGATAAACTGCTCTCCAAATGGGTAGTACCAATTTATCTCTGCTCAGAACCACTCACCCCTGCCCCCTAACTAAAGTAACCTGCTCTGTTAATCTCTATGAGAGCACCTGTTTATTTCTCTCAAAAAATTGATGACAATATATAGGATCATTTGTTGTTTTACTGGTCTGTCATCTGTCTCCTCTGATAGCAGACAGCCCCCTAGAGCAAGGACCCTGTTTGATTGCTTCTAGCTAAATTCCCCAGTACAGAGTAGCCCTTCAAAACACAATTGTTGAAAGCACTGATAAATAGCCTGTAAAAGCACCCCCACATCCTCAACACTGAATATCATCAATCTTTTCAACTTCTGCTACCTTGACCAGTGAGAAAGTTTGGGTTACTTAGCCTTGCTGTGTGACCTTGCCTGAGCCACTCAACCTCTCTGGGCCTCAGGTATCTGCAAACCAGGAGACACAAGCTGATTGGATTAACAGAGCTCACACAGAAGAACTCTAGGCCTCAGTTTCCTTCTCTGCAAAATGGAGGTTTTACAGAGCCAGGAGGTTTTGAAGTCCCTGCCAGTCCTCCCATCCTAAGAGCCTACAGAGAACAAGTGAGTTGGGGAGGGTTCCTCCCCAGAATCACTCTTCTGTGTGATGCTGAGCAGGGTGCTTTGGCCTTGAACCCTGTCTCGTTTCACAATCACTAGGGAAAGGAATATTCTTACTTCCCTCTCTACTCACCGTCAGGTCCTTGCCTCAAGTCTGCTCTGAGGAAGCACCCCACCAAGTTCCTCTGGTCGAAGCTCTTCCTCATAAGTCCTTCCAGATTTTCCTGCCTCACTTCACCCTCCCAAATGCAGCACTGGTGACTTCCCTTTTAAGTAGGATTTAGTCTGAGCAGCCCTGGGCGCATGGATCTCTCTATGAGCTCCATCCCCTGGTGAGTTTCTGTAAACCCCGAAATCTTGACCAAGTTTTAATCAGCAAAGAAATAGAAGCTCTCCCAGGACAGGTAGTCCTGGGTGTTCTCTGACTTGCACGCTCAACTAGAAGGGATGTTGGCCTGCCCGAAAGAGACTGGAAACCAGGGTGACCAGCCATCCTGGTTTTAGTAATGCACGTCCCTTGTCTTGGGAGTTCCTTAAGTCCCAGGCAAACAGGAAAATTGGCCACCCTACTGGAAAGAGACCTACCCAGAGGAGTCTGAAGCAAGACATGGGGACATAGCAGAGGAGTGGGGGGACCCTCCTGCCCCTCTGTTCACTCAATGACTCAAAAATAATTTACTACACAATGACAAGCTACCAGGCGTGTACAGGGTGCTGGGGGGACAGTGAGCCAGCCAGACACCAGGACTCACAGGGACGTCATCATGGAGCCACAACTGGGCAATTTTGATGACAGCCCTGAAGAGGCAGGGGAGGTACCAGGCTGGCTGAGGGTCGGTGCATGCCTGGGATACTGCGAGACACCACGGTTTCAAGTAGTTCAGTCCCCTTTTATCCTCCCAAAGCCACTGAGGCCAGCTGAAGCGATGAATGATCCCGTAACTGTGGAAGGCAACCCACCTGCCCAGGTAGAATCAGAGTTCTGGGGATGGCAGGGGGTTCTGGGGGTTAGTGAGATGGCTCTCCTCACAGGGACAGGAGGAATATATAATGAGGAAAGGCCCTGGAATGCAGCCTGATACCCAGAAAGAGCTCCAAGGTCAAATCCCTGCCTGTGACTCACCAGGTAACTCACCTGGGGGTACATGTATTAATTCCCCTAAGCCTCAGCTTCCTCATCTGTAAAGTGGGAAAATACAATAACTGCACGAGTTTTCAAAAATAATAATCAAAAAATACACATGCAAACTGCTTAGGTCAGTGCCACTGCAAAAAATAGGTTTCCGTGGAAAAGTGCAGGGTCCAGAGTGGATCTCTCCTCATCTCTGCCGGCTCAGGCACAGGGACCCCAGGAGAACCACCTGGCCTTCTCTTGGTCTCTGCTTCCTTGCCTGCAAAATGTGGATAATAACGCCCGCCTTTCAACATCAAATGAGATAATGGATAGGAAAATGCTTTGAAAAGAATAAAACATGACAGAAAATCAAGACTTGTTTTTTAAAAAAAAGGAGCAGCAGGAAGCAAGAAAGAAAAAAGGAACTAGAGAGAGAAAGCAAAAGAAAGACTGAAGATGAGAAAAGAAGTCCCATAGGGCAGAAGGAGGCCCCACGAGGTAGCGAGTATTAAAAGCACAGGTTTGGAGTCACATTCAAATCCTGGCTCTGCTACCTACTGGCTGTGAGACTCAGGCGAGTAATTTAACCTTTTTGAACCTTGGTTTTCTGATTTGTGTGTGGGAATAATAATAAATCACAGTACTGTACCCTAATGGGTGTGTGAGCATTATGTGAACTGGGCTGAGCATGGTGCTGGCACAGACGAGGGCTCGGGAATGGGACTATTATTCATCATCCTCATCCCTCAGGCCCCATTTCTACTGCCTGCCTTCCCTGTCCCCAAACTTGCAGACTCCAGCTGCTTGGGGGCGCAGCCCAGAGCCGCCTTCTCACATCCATCGGGCAGGCCAATTCACTGAGCACTGCTAGGAGCCAGGTGAGCTTGAGGCACTGGGATGTGGTGGTGAACGACCCTCACACAATGTCTGCCCTCCTGGAGCTCACACTCCAGTGGGAGACAGGCCACGAACAGGAAACCAACACGGAACCGAATTGGATGATAGAATGCAAGTGGAGACCAGAAAGATGTAAGGCTACACGGAAGTGGACTGCACGGCCAGAGCACGAGGCCGGCCCTCACCTGGCATACTCCAGCCTGGGCAGCAGCAGGTAGAGTCCCATGCAGAGCATGATGAAGATGGTTCCCGTGAGGAAGAAGGCCAGGGCACTGTCCGTTATGTCGCTGGATGCTGCCAGGTCCAACAGCAAGGCCACGGCGGAGATGGTCCCACCCATGGCTCCTCCTGCAGAGAGCAGAGGACACCACAGAGACGTCAGGGGTGGGCCCGAAGGGAGTGAGGGGCCATGGTCCCTCTCTGCTCAGATTTAACAGACCCTGATGCAAAAAATGCCATAGTACTCACGGTATCCCCAAGCCATGGCAGACGTGGAGAGGTCCTGCAGCCACGAGGCTCCTCGGGTTTCAGAGGGTGTGGTTTTACCTGTCCCCAGCCCAGGCCCCTTCTCTCTGCTGGACTCAAGAGGCTGCTGCCTGAGGTGGCAAATGTCTCCAGGGCTCCACTGGTCTGCTTCCTGATTTCACCTCTGACCCTTGACCTCCACACTCTTTATTGCCCTTCTAGTGGGGTCTGAAGTTTTAGATTCAGGGGCGGGAAACCTCAAAGAGCTCTGGATTTCCTCTTCTCTGCCCTTTGCCTGAATCATTCCCCGACTGAACTGGGAAGGGGCTCAGGGAAAGCCCTAGCACAGGCTCACCTGCTGCCTCTGTGGCTGTCCTGTCCGGGGTAGTCCTTACTGGCTACAGACCTCTGCCGTGTTGCCCACCCATGAACTCATAGAGCTTACCCTGTGCCCCAGGGCAGCTGTGGTACCACACGCGTGTGAGCGTGGATGTGCACACACACAGAACACTCACTCACACACAGTCACACATCTACACGTATACTCACATACTCGCACAAGCATGCGACCTTCCCACCACATGGGATGCTCTCCTAGCCACAGGTGTCCACACACATTACCCACGAGACCATGTGGCCCCACACCCTTCACTCCCACCTAAAAGAGGAGGTGGCACAACCTAGCAGAACGATCACGGGCCCAGGAGTCAAAGGGACCTACATCTGACCCTCGACTCTGTCACTTGCTAGCTGTGACCCTGGGAGCTAATGTGACTTCTCTGAGCCACAGTCTGCCCATCTGTAAAATGGGAATAACAACGCCTGCCTTGCATAGCTGCTTTGAGAACTAAATGAGATGATGTTCAGACTTCATAGCAGGCTTTCAACAAATGCTAGTTCCCTTCCTTGGCACAATCACACAGTTGACTCTGGGAGGCTGGGGATGTGTCTTTGTTTTCTTTCGAACCCTCACATTAATGATCAATGTGCTGGCCAAGAGTCAGAAGCCTGGGGTAGCACCAGCTTGGGAGTACTGTTAGGAGTGTGGGCAGATCATTTACTCTTTCTTTGCCTCTGTTTATTTGCCTGGAAAATGGGGCTAATACCTTCCCTATGTATCACATGAAAACATTGGGAGGTAGAAATGGGACAAGGAGTGGAAAAAGCACCGAATACAAGCACAGGACCACTGTCATCATACAGATGCTGTCTGGTGAATATGTTGGATTGCCTGAATGAGTGAGTTTGCCCACTTCAGAGCATCAGAATAGCGATTCTCAAACAGGCAAGAAGGAGGCTGGTGCAACAGCAGGCAGCACACTGGTCCATGTGGGCATGAACTGCTCTGTCACTGTCAGCAGCTCTTACCTGGCACCAGTCTTCTGCTCACTGCCACAGGGAGCAGGGTTGGGGAGGGGCAGTACTGGCCCCTGTCCACCAGGATGTCCCATCACTGCCTCACCCATGCCCCGTCCAACATCTCTGTGGCTCCACAGGAGCAGCCCTTGGCCTGGCAGATGATCCTTCTCCCACCTTCCCCGTATAAGTTCTATTACCCAGGGTGGGGCTAGAGGGTGGGACTTGAGGGAGGGCAAAGACATAATAACTAGCATAGTGATTAACAACACAGACTCTAGCATGAGAAGGTCTCCTGAATCCAATCCCGGCTCTATCACTTCTAGCTGTGTGGCCTTTGGCAAGTCCTTAAACCTCTCTGTGCCTCCATTTCTTCAAGTATAAAATGGGGATGTTAATAATACTTACCTGTTAGGACATTTATGAAGATGGAAACGATTATTACACACAGAGTGCTCAGAACAGTGCCTGGGACAGAGAAGTGTCAAATACCAAATAAATCCTCTGATTCCCAATTAGGTGTTTGGCTATTTCCGTCCTTCCCACATCAAAGCAGCAATGGGGTAAAAACCCTTTGCCAAGAGGGTGCCCATTTCTGAGAAGCTGTAATCCCCAGCGACACGTTTTGTAAGAAGTGGGGTTAAACTCAGTAAGACACTCCCCGGCTACCCTGAGGAAGAGATATTAACATGACTGCCTATTGATTTTCCTCTCTCTCTCCAACTTGTAGCAAATATTATCATCAACAACAAACCGGGCCTCCGGGAGCTCATCCTTCACAACTCCTGACTTTTATCTCATCAGTTATGGAAATACATGCAAATGAGGGCTTTAAGAAAACACCAGCATGAAACAAATGAAGTGTTCCTCAGATGCCAGCACACACATTCATACGGGCTCCTCTGGACAAAAGACAAGAACGGCTGGCCTGGCGAGGTGGTGTTGGCGTCTCTGGGAGACTGGGACACCTTGGGTTTGCCAGGGTGTTGGGTGCCCACGGGGGGCCTCGTGCAGTTATGACGATGGTTTAGAGCCCAGGGTAATTCAAATTGACGTATAAGTACTAAATTTCCCTACCTTTCCAAAGTAGACTTTCTGAAGGGCCACTTGCCAACACAAATGGTCACTGGCTCCTGGAAAGGTAGCCAGCATGGCTAAAGTTGTATCGTAAAAATCCTCCTCCAGTGGGATGGTGGAAGGCCAGGGCACAAAAGCCTCTTTCTGAGACCAGGGGTGACAGAAGGGATTAAATCCAATTAAATCCAGTGGCCACTTCCCTTAGCCCAGACATGCACTTCTGCAAGCATTGCTAGGCATATGCTGACGTACTCAGAAATCTTAGCAACAAGTTCATTTTTATTTTATTTCAGGCCCAAGGGTTCCCCAGGATAGAGCTTGAAGCCTAATCCTATATCAAAAATGGCAGACAGATTGCAATTCACATCTAGGCTCTGATCTGTTGAGAGTAACTGCCTCAAGTGCTGTGTTGAGAAGGATTTAGAGGCTCAGGAGGAAAGATAGAGATCTGTTAGTGATGTCTGGCACTGGTGTCGAGTGGGGAGGGGAAATACACTTGTCAAGGTATTTGTCATCCCTGCCACGTACTGCCTGGCATTATTAACTAATGGGCACAGTGCAGATTCTTTGTGAAATTCTTCTCAAGTAGACAAACGTTGAAAGCACTCTTCTGCACAGCAGGGTGTGTGAAGACACACACAGAGCACCTCCAGCATGCTTTAAGGGATGGTGGTCTCCTAGTGAAGAACAGGTGCTTGCTGACCCCGCTCCCTTTTACCTTCTTGGGTCTTCTGGGTGAGACACATGACTGAAGCCTAGAGAACAAAACTGCCAAGGTCTTGATAACAGGCTTAGCATCCGCATGAACACTTGGGCAAGGACGTCCTACCAAGTCACACATGAGCACGCCCACAGAATGCCGCAGTTCAGGGTGCCCGAGGAGTTTATTCACTAGACTATCAGCTCTGAGAGGCCAGAGTCTTGCTCATCTTTGAATCCCTGGTACAGAGCAGGTTGTCTATAAAATTAGAAAGGAAGAAAAGAGAGAAGGAAAGGTGAAAAGAAGGGGAAAAGGTAAGGGAGAGGATAAATAAAGAGAACAGGAGGGGGGGAGGGGAGAAGGAGGGAAGGAAAGAAAGGAAGGCTGGTTTCAGGAATTGCACTTTGTAGGTAGACTGTGTTTTCCAAAAATGCTCCAACTATGTCTCCCCTCCCGCCTGCTCTTCTTCCAGTATGTCCTTCATACACTCCCATTGAGATGTGTGATCAGTGCAGTCTTGAGTCTAGGTGAGCTTATGGCTGTGAAAGAAGTAACCCTATGTGGCTTCTGTAGCTAGGTCAGAAATAAAGCTTCTTCCTGGATCTCCTGGGATGCTCGCTCTTGTGACCCAGACACCATTCCATGAGGAAGGCCAAGCAGCTGTGGGAAGGTCCCCAGCCCTGGCTCAGCTTCCAGCCAATGGCCAGCACCAACACCAGCCAGGGGAGCACGCCATCTTGAGAATGAATCCTCTAGTCCCCAGTCAGGCTACCCTGGGTGACCCCACGTGGAGCAGAGAAGAGTTGTCCTCGCCAACTCCTGCCCAAATCGTGATGTGTGAGCTGTTGTTCTAAACCACTCAGTTTTGGGGTGGTTTGTTCCATGACAATAGATGACTGAAACACACTGAGCACATATCATTTCCTTTCCTGGAAGGGCTACCATGTGCTCACCTCTGGCTCCTTCATGTGACCCACAGGTGGATGAACCTGGTCGGCTGTCGGGACTGTGGCTCTCACCTGATATCAGTGCCTGGGAATTCCTCATAGGGAAGGAGCCAGTCATGCTATAGATGCTGCTGCTGAAGATAGTGTTGGTGCCACTGAAGATCACCATGCAGACAATGGTGATGGCAAAGAAGCTGCGGGTCCAGGAGGAGGTGTCCACCTTCACCAGCACAGTTATCACCACGAAGATGGCCAGCGTGATGGTCAGTGAGGCCAGGACACGGACATGGACTGCAACCCTGCGGAGAGGATGCCAGAAGCAATTAGACACCCCTTTGCACCTCACACCTGGGACTAGGGCTACTGAACCATCTTAAGGGAAGCAGGCAAGCTCAGCAGTCAACTGTCAGCTGTCCCCTCTGCAGTCAGGAGGCCTGGGTTCAAATTCTGTCTTCCTGCTCACTAGCTGTCTGGCCTTGGGTAAGTGACTCAGCTGCTCTGGTTTCAATTTCTGCACCCATACTAACTATGGGGAGGAGAATCGATCTACCTCATGGGTGGGTGTGGGGCTCCCAGGACGTGAGCCATGTGTAGTGCGGGGATCAGTGTCAGGCTCGGGGCATGTGAGGTTGAAGGACAGGATGCTGGGACTGTGGAGGCAAGTCCCTGCTCCTCCTGCCGGTTCTGTCTGGTGTTTAAACAGAGCAACCACCCACTGGACTTCCTTCCCCCGAAACTTGGCAGTAGGATGTGGGGGAGGGGGAAGAAAATCATCATCATCGTCTTCATCATCATCGTCGTCGTCATCGTCATCATCATCATCACAGCACTCACATAGCACTTAATTTGTGCCAGGCACTCTTCCAAGTGTTTTCTATATACTAACTCATAATTCTTGCACCAGCTCTGTAAGACAGGTATTCTTACCTATCCCACACATACAGATAAGAAACTGAGGTCAGAGAGGTTAAGAAACTTGCTCAAGGTCACTCAGCTGTGAACCCAGGAGGTCTGGCTCCAGTCTGTGTTCTGAGAAGACGCTCTAATGCCTCCCTTGAAACAAAGGGAATATGGGTGGCACAGAACAGTGGCTAGGACAGGGGATCCTTCCGTGGTGGTCTCAGTTGTGATGGGCAGCAGCTGATGCCAAGCTAGTGCAGCCCAGGGCCAGGGGAGCCCCACACTCCTCCAGCACCATGCCTGCTATAAGCCATACACTCCTCCCAGCCCCACACTGCCCCGGGGAGAAAAGCAGGAAAGGAGCCTGAGAAACTGCACGTTTTTATTCTAGGGAGAGGAAACACCATCTCTCAAGGGGCTGTTTAAATCATCAGATTAGACTAAGCTTTAAACCAGATTGGATGTTTAGTTAATTTTCCTGCTAACCAGTGTGTGCGGGCTGGGAGAAAAGCCAGATCACATATACGCAAATTATTTTTTGGATTAGAAAAAGGAAGACAAATTTGAAATGTAGAAAAACATATATATGTATATTCATAGGTGTGAAATAATGAACATGAAAAGCAAGAAAGGACTTTTTCAAAGTGCTTTTGTGGCCCCAGGCTCATCTAAGTTTCCTTCTGATCCTCAGCTGAAGAGAGAGCAGGTGCTGCCTCTGCTTTGTAAGGGAAGGAGGAAACCCGAGGAAGTGAAGGAACAGTTCAAGGTCGCACGGTGAGTCTGTGGGGAGAGAAGCTGGGACGAGAACCCAGTGTGCTGAGCCCCAGCCTGTTGCACAGTCTGCTGACGTGTCCTCAATGCTGTGTTCGTCTGCAATAAGCACTGAGCAACTACTGCGTGTCAAGTGCTGTGCTGGCTGGGTGCCCAGGAAACCGACAGCCCAGCAGCAGGCATTTCATCCTGCTGTGCTAAGCGCTCCATTGAGAGGGCCATGGGGCATCCTGGGGCAGCAAGCCTACCCTGGGTGCCGTGGAAGCCTATTTGGAGGCGATCTCCAAGATGGACCATAAGGATGAGTGGGGGGCACATCTGGACATGGGTGCACATGTCTTGGGGGAGAGAGCACAGCACACTCAGGGAACTGGAATAGACTCTGGCTGCAATCGAGATGGGAGAGGAGGAGCGCAGAGACGAGGCTGGAGAAAGACAAGGAGCTCCATCCTGGAGTGCCTTGTCCACCCTGATAAGTGCCAGGACTTGATCCTGGGGCTGGGGATTTGGGGAGTGGGCATGGGGCCTTTGTATGCCAGCATCCCCCCTGGAAGAATGCTCCTTCCTCCAAATGCAGTCATACTGGGGAGGTCACCGAGGCAGCCACAAACAATGGGCATGTGACCCAGCCTGGGGTGATCAGAGTGTTCTATGCTGCCTGCTGCAGGGATTGGGTTAGGGACTAGCATGTGACCCACACAAGGCCATGGAGCTGAGGAGAGCAGGTCCCAGTTGTGACTTCATATGGGGCTGCTGACTGCCATCTGCCAGCTGTGCAGGGCAAGATTGCATACAGAATAAAGCCAAGCAGAGACCCAGAGAGCAGGGATGGTGCGAGAGAAGATGCCCTAGATCCAACGATGCTTGAAGGCACACCTGACTTTAATTTTCAGTGAAAGAATGAGAAAATCCTTTTTTGTGCTAACTAGCATCGAGGTCCATCACAGTTTCAGGCTGGATAAGGATAGTCAGAAACTCTCCAGTGCTGCTGCCAGTGTCTTGCCCATGTGCCCTACCGCTGACCACTTCAGGACATGCTGGTCCATGCAGCAGGCTAGAAGTGGCAGGTACTTATCTCTTAAGAGTAGCCTTCAACCAATGAGTGTGGGAAGTTGGTGGAGCCCTGCTCCCTGGGCTGTGTGTTCTGCCCTGGCTCCCAGAGATCCAGCAGGATCAAGCTCTGGACACCCTCTGTAGGAGCTGGCTTGAAAAGATATCCTCTGTTGGCTGCCATCCCTTCCCTGTCTCCCTTCTCTACTCTCCTCCCTTCACCTCCCGAGTAAACTACTCATACTTGAATCCTTGTTTCAGGGTCTGCTTCTAGGGAACCCACACTAAGATGCCACTAAGGCCCCACAGTAAAACACATCTTCTGAGAGTTTGCAGGCGCCATGGCCTGGACAGGCTGGTGGGCAGCCAGGTTAGCACCTGGACTCCTAGGGGCCCAGCTTCTCTACTGTAAGAGCATACCAGGTGCCCTGGAGGCTGGTGGGCAAGACTTACCTCTGATGCTCGGGGTGATCCTACACACTCAGCCCTGTCACACAGTGCCCCCATCCTCTCCCAGCAGCTGGGACTGCTCCACCCACCTCCAAGATAAAAGCTGGCAAGGGCACAGAGCCGGAGTCAGGAGACCGGGGCCCGGCCCAGCTCTGGCATCAACCCACTGTGTGACACCAGGCAAATATTCAACCTCTCTGGGCCTCAGTCTCCTCATTTCTAAAAAGAAGAGGCTGGACCAGATAAGGTCCCTAATAGCTAATGATTCTAAATCTGAAGAAATTCAAGTGGAGAGAGAGGTTGGGGACAAATATCAAAAAGTTTTAACCAGTTCCTTGGAGCAGGAGGAGGCAAAGGACAGGCTTCAAGATATGCAGAGTGCTGCGAGGGCAGGGGCCTTCCTCTCCTCCCCCCAGCACCAGCAAAGAACCTGGTAGGCACCTGGTAAATATTCAGGGACAAACAAAGTGACATGCATGCGAGATCAATAGTGCAGGAGTGGTTTCCCCACTGGCCTCAACCTCCCAGCTGCTGTCTGCTTCTCGAGCCCCTCAGCCTGGCAGGGAGTTCAGCTGGAAGTATCTGCCAGCCTTGGGAATGGCCTCTGCCTCTGCCCATATCCTCGCATGCACAGTGAGGAAAAAGTCTGGCATCAAGGGACCCTCCTGTGTGCCTAGTCACTTGAACAGGAAGGTTGCTTTGCAGAGAGCTGGGGGCTTCTTACTCAGGCATCCCCAGCGTGGGGAGATGAAGAGGAGCGGGAGATGAGGAGGCAAAGGCCAAATGCATGGCAAATGCTGGCTCCATCCGTGCCCTCACCTGTGCAGGTCTCCTTCCCGCCTACTAAAAGCCTCCACCCATGGGCTCTGGGCCCACCGAGATCTCGCGGGGGCTTTTTGCAATACTCCTAAAGCTTTATAAATGTGCCAGGTGCAAGGCCACCCATGTGCACTAATGGGCACGCTGGCTTCTCTCCTCTTCCTTCCTCCCCGGGCAGGGTGGGTGACCCAGGGGACTGTGACACTATTGTGATTTTAGGAAAGTCTAGATAAGCACTGCCCTGGTGTCTGAAGTTCTACTCTGGGACAGGATATAGCCAAGATGACAGCTCCAGGCAGAGACCCTGGGTCTAGTCCACTACTGAGAAGATTCCTGGACGGGGCTGCCAGCTGTACCCAGGCTGTCAGTCCCTCTCTCCCCGCTTCTCATGAAGGCTCAGGACCCCAAGGGACTGATTTCTTCATAAGTCACCAAAATGTAAATCCTGCTCATAAGTATTTATGGTGCTGCAGATTTAACATAATAAAACACTTGGCGATTATGGATGAGCCAGTCAGAGAAAGCCAGGATCCTCCAGGAGGGGAGAAAAGGAGACATTTCAATCTCGCACATTAAATAAAAAACAATTTAGCCCCAAACCATCATTTTCCCACAGCCTGGAAACAGATGGAGGCTTGGGAGCATTTCCCTATTACCCTCGCCCCTCTTCTGGAGCCCAGGAAAGGACAGGGGCAGGTCTGGGGCTGGCTAGACCCTTCTGGAAAAGGTCCTGGCACTACTGAGCCATGTCCCTAACCCACCTTGAGGAGGACAGCTGGCCTGAGGGGCCATGGCCCTGCTGGAGACAGACCCCGGCCTTCTCCACCACCCCCTTCCCTCCTAGCAGCCTGAAGCCCAGGAGAGGCGGGCCTCCCACTAGAAGGGTCTGAGGCATGGCTCTGGCTGCAGTGGGTGGGAGCCACAAAGCTGGGGAAGTAGAGGCTCCAAGCACAGATGCAGGTGAGAAGGTCCCAGTTAGAATCCTAGCTCCAACCTTAACAGCCATGTGACCTTTGGCCTGTCACTTCTGTGAGCCTATTTCCCCTTTTTTATTTTTTTGGTGGATCTGAAACTGTGGCCTTGGCGTTACAAGGCTGTGCTTTAACCAATTAAGTCCTGTTTTCCCATCTGAAAGCAGGTCACAACAGTTTCCTACCCTAGGCTGCTGAAGGGTACAGGAGAAAATGTGCCTCCAGGATGTGAATACCTAGAAGAGTCAACTGTGGTTACGAGATCATCCTCTCACGGCCTGAGCTGGACCTTCCCCGACACTGTAGACCCACAGCCCAGGGCTGGCTTCCAGGCTGCTGGATCTCCACAGCTTCCCTCCTGAACTGCTGTGCATCCTAAGTGATATAACAAGGGACAGCCAAGGGTTTACAACCTTGTTATAGTTCAGACAGTGACTCGGGACCTGGAAGGGGCGGCAGCTGTCATTTATGCAAGCCTGGGCTATCCCAGCTGCAGAAATGCCCTGTCCTCAGGGCTGGCTGAGTGAGTGGACAGAGAAGGCAGTGAGAGCAGAGGGGTCCCCACCGCCTTGGCTGCTGCCCCTCCCCCTCCCCCTGCGTGCCCTTCCTGTCCTCGCACCCTCTCTTCTCCAGGGTTGGCGGTGCTGAGGGATCACCTGTGTCTGCTGCTAGGGCTGTTCCTCCACTCTCCTCCTGGGGCAGGGTCTCTGCAGGCTGTGCCCCCTGCTAGGACACCAGATGCAGCCGTGTGTGCTGGGAAGGCCCAGGTGAAGCAGGTTAGGGCCAGCCAGCTTGCAAAAGGGACTGCAGGTCCTCGGGCCTGTCTAAGCATCTTTATTCTTTATGCTTTCAGACTGCACTGTGGTGTTTAAGATGGGTGCGAATTCCTTCACACTCCTTCCATTGGGAGGGGGGGTCTATGTCCCCTTGAAACTGAGTGGGCTGTGACTGCCTTGACCAGTCAAGTACAGCAATAGTGATGCTATGCGACTTCTGGCACTAGGCTGTAAAAGCTATGTCGTTTCTTCCTTGCTCTCTTGGAGCATTTGCTCTTCAGCCACACCAGAAGCAGTCCTATTACCCTGAGGCTGACATGTGAGGGGGCAGGGAGGGAGAGAATCCGAATGGGCCCTGGACCCAGCGGCTGTATGATGCAACTACATGAGACACTCAGCCAGAGCTGTCCCTGAGCCTCCATGCCCCCAGATTATGAGATACTAATTACTGACATTGTTTTAATCCACTCTGCTTCGGGACCATGTTATGTGACAATAGCTGGAATAGCCCCATGGCATAACGTGTTTGGAGAGACTGGCCTATTCAGCCCTGGCACACACGAGGCACCCTGCCGCCCTCTCCCCTCCTGCAACCACAGCAGACATCACTAATCACGGCACACTCCCTGTGGGCAGACCTGCCTGAGAATCCTGTTCAACCAGAGACCAGGCGGTCACTATAAATTGACCAGAGATGATGGGTAAAACAGATTTGCCATCAGTGACCTAAGGTTCAGTAGGCCACGTCCAAAAGCAGCCCAGGTATCTGGACCACCATGTAGCCACCGATATAACCCAGTGGCAACTTAGGGGAAATGTGGGCAAACGGGCTAGTGCTGATGCCCGTGTGAAGTCAGACTGAGAACGGACAGCAATAGTCACCCAGTGGGGTCTATGGCCATGCTCATTTGCCTGGCCATCTCCTAAAGAACTCCTTCCATGGTGCATCCAGATGGAGTCCTTCCTAGCGCTTACTGATAAAACATCAGAAATTCCCCATGACCCCTTTGTGAGTGGTTGACACATCAGCTATTGTCACCAGCTTAGCACTGAGCAGTTAAATGACTCCTTCTGGGCCACAGGCCTTGCAGCCATTGACAGTTTCCCCTGGGAGGAAGATCCAGGTGTCCCCACATGATGCCACAGCATGCAGCTGGAAAGTGGAAGCCCAGTGTCCTGCCCGGGCACCTCCAGGTAACTGACCTGACTTCTCAGTCTTTGTGGACAAGTCGGAGCCACCTGCCTCCTACTTTGGTGGCCACCATTTAAATAGGCAGAAAAAAAGCAGCTGCAGATGAGAGGGGAGTGGAGAAGGCAGGAGGCGCAGGTGGGGCTGAGAGAGGAGAGGGCCTACCTGTTGACAAGCAGGAAGGTGGCCACGAGGCACAGCACGGAGGGCACGGTGGAGGCGATGACAAGGTAGTTCTCAAAGTAGTTCTGGAAGCACACAAGTAAGGAGGCTGCTGTGGTCACTCAGGGACAGAGGAGAGGTCCCCACCCCAGAGCAAAGACAGAGCCCCTCTTGGGGGGGCTCCTCCCCACTGTCTTCAGATACTTGGGAGCCATGGGTAAGTCTACCCCAAGACGACCTTCCCACCCCCATCTCCAACCTAAGACTACTCATTCAGTCACTCAACAAACAGCTGTTGATGTCAGCTGTGCTAAGTGCTAGGGACATAAGGAAGGATGAGACATTGTCCCTGTCCCTTGCAAGGCCCAACACTCCACAGCCCATGCTCCTACCCCCTCTACCTGTCCCACCCATAGACTGCGGCAACAGGGTCAGGACTCAACATTTGTCCAAAAAGAAAAGTTTTGCCCGGTCAGCCTTCCTGGCCCACTGCCAGAATGCTGGGTGCACATGGGTCTTGTTATGACCCAACAACATTCTGACATTCTTGTGACCAAGTGAGTCCTCTTAGAAATACACAGGGCCCACCCACTTCCTACAGGGAAACATTGTTCTGACTTGATTTGCTCTCTCGATGGAGCTGCTACAGATAGGCAAAGTCGTTTTGGGAAGTGGCTTGTAGACTGGCCAGATGAGGAAAAAAACATTTCCTGGCAGCAGCTCAGGGATATGAGAGAGTACATAAGACAACAGAAAGATGGAGAATGTTCTGATTATAATGTGCTGGAACGCACAGTGAAAGCAGCTGTGTTTGTCAAAACTCAGAGAAGGTCCACTCATTAGGGTGAATTTTACTGTGTGTACCTTATCTCTTAACATACCTGTCTTAAAAAAAGAACAAGGTCTGGCTGGTTAGCTCAGTTGGTTAGAGCGTGGTGCTGAAAACACCAAGACCCAGGGTTCAATCCTTGTAACTAGCCAGTTGCCCGCACCTGCCCCCCTCCAAAACCAACGAAAACACCGGAAAGGGTTGACTTGGGTCTTTGTAGATTAAACCATGAGCCCCAGGTTCTAAGCCATGATAATAGTTTACATGTATTAAGCATTCACCGTGTACCAAACACAAGGACTTTATATGAATTCTATTGTTTAACCCTAAACAAACAAAAAAAGCAGCTGTGTATTCTGCCCTGGGAGACTTAAGACATTTAACTTAACCAAGAAAATACTTTGAGTACAAATATGCTAAGTGAAAAGAACAACGTGTCCAGAGAACTTGCCAACGTCGCAAGAAGCTGCGGATTGCAGGGCCCACTCCCTCCAGCACTCCCACGTGACACAGCCTCGTGCTTGTTAGGGCTGTGGTGTGTCCTAGCAGGAGTATGGGATGGAATGCAAAGGTTTTTAACAGCTCAAAACACCACAAGAAGAGATGTCAGAAATTTTTTTTTGCCAAATCTGAGGCAGGAGCAGTGAGTTCTCAGGGGGTCCCAGGTGGGAGGGTGGGTAAGAGGAGGCCGGGCACTAAGAGAATGGGAATCAGTAGGGTGTGGGGACGAGTCCCAGAAGAAGTGGGATCTGGGTTAGACCTCGGAACAGAGGGGCAGATTTCTCCTTTCTGGGAGGAGTTTGCTTGTAACCTGGAGGCCAAGAAAGAAAGATGTCATAATGGGCCCCTTCTAGTCTGAAGCACAGACCGTTCCACGGTCCCCTTTTAAGCCTGAAGAGTGTTTTGTGGTCTTTGAAATCTGTACCCTGAATATAAGGCCGTGGGAGCCTGGCAATTAAAATGATAATCACAGCTAGTGTGGTCCCTGAATCATGAGCCTTAGAAATCACCTTCCTCCTCTGAGGTGCCGCCTCATTGTTCCTGCTCTGATGGGCTCAGCAGAGCCTGGAGTGGTCTGGGGCAGTCAATTACGCCTGGACACAGTGGCCGGGCCCACGTGAGGCTGGGAGGATTCCGGGCCCTTTGGAGGTAGGGCTGTGGGTGGGCGCCACACTGCCCCAAATCTAAGCCCCTACTGAGGCCCCCCTCGTCCAGTGGTTGCTCGGCCTGTGGCAAGCTTGTGAACGGCTTTCACGCGGGACATTCTATCTCTTTGTTTTTTTGAGCAGCCTCGGGTTCCCTGAATGTTTTAGGGATGCGGATTTACCAGGTAACTGAATGTTCCTGCTTGTTGATATTGAAGCAGGAAAACATGTCTTTTAACATTAGAAAGATTTTACCATTTCTCTGCCCTTCAACGAACATGCCAGTGGGTAGAATGGACTTGAGACTGGGCCACTGTTCTGTAGATGAAGATCAGGAGCTGCAGATGGCAACACAGGCAGACTCAGCACATTCCATGGAACTTTCCTTTTTAAAACTTAATTCCTGATATAAACATGTGGTGGTTTTTATTTAATTATTTGCTGCTTTTGCCTGTAAGTTAAGTTCTACTAAAATGAGGAGTGGTGGCCTCACGATCCCCACCTCCTAGTGTCCACGCCTTCCCTGTGACTTGCTTCTAACCAAGAGAACCAAGTACACGATTATGTGATGAGTTACATGAGATTGCAGCACCAGCCCTGTGGGACTCTCTTTTTCTTCCTTGCTGGTTCTGAGGAGGCAAGTGGTCATGCTGGGGAACCCCACATGGCAAGGGACTGCAAGTGACCCCAAGTTGCTGAGGACAGTCTCCAGTCAACACTCAGCAAGAAACAGAAACCCTCAGTCCCACAACAGGAACTGAATTCTGTCCACCACCTGAGTGAGCTTGGAAGTGACCCTGCTCCAATCGAGCCTCAGATGAGACTGCAGCCCTGTGAGGACTTAAGCAGAAGACCCAGCTAAGTTGTGCCCAGACTCCTGGGCCATGGATACTGTCAGATAATAAATGTGTATGTTTTAAGCCACTAAATTTGTAATCCCCTAATCAGGGATTTCCTGAATACTGGAGCCTTCCTGTTACAACTTAAATTTAGTTCCTCGACGCAGACAAGGACAACTGATCATGGTTCTTTATTCAACTTCCTACCAGGCCCAAAGACCAAAATGTTTCCCATGAAGGGAACACAGGCTATGCTTGCTGACCGCATCAGTCCCTTTAGCCTTTCCTCACCAAACCCTCTGCTGAAATTAGGACTTCAGCAGGTGGCAGACACTGATTTCAAGAAGCAGACTTAGTGTACGTGCCTGATACTCTGTTTGCCCTGATGCCCCTCGGGTTACCTGCCTTGCTTCCCTGTCAGAGCAGTGGACCCCATGGTCATGGAGCCACTGCCACTACAGGAAGAGCCGACTACCTTGGAGAGACCCCTGGGCCTACACCCTGCAGGGCTGCACCCCAGTGGCTGTGGGAGGGGCCAGGTAACACTCCCTGAAGGTGGGGAGTCAAAGCCCCACAAGGTAGACTTTGGTCGATGAGAGGCAGAGATAGTAAGGAGCCAAAGTATACATTGCTTTCCTCTCCCCTAACTGTTCTGAAACGTGGTGGCTCTGCATGGCCTCTCTGGAGATGTACCATGTGCCTGCTCAGCCAGCTGTTTTGTCTCGAAGCTGCGGCCAGCTCAGGAACATCACGGCCCCTTGCATCTGCTCTCTGTCCATTCCTGCCTCACCCGCCTCTCCTGCACCCTGACTTCCCTAGGATCGCGCTCTCTGCTGCAGTACTTGCACCTGAGGCTTGCCTTTCTAGGAAACACCCAACAGCGAAGGCCTTACATCCGTCCCTGACTGTGCACCTTGCACATCTGCAGCTGGCACTTCCTGAGTTCACCTCATTTGCTTCCACCGGGTGTTGGGACTACCCTCTCCCATTTTACTTAAGGAAATGTAAAGACATTCAAATACTGGTTGCAACCCATTGTGACTAGGATGAAAACAGTACTGCCCCTCCAATCCAACCTATAGTGGCTATCTATTAGGGGGATTTTATGTATTGCTGTGTTTTGGGATAATTTACACAGATAATTCACACTTGGGCCTGATTCTTGACAGAGCCTCAAAAGGCTCTGTTTTTATTTATCCTACCACATACCCCGAAACCATCTCCCCCTCCAGAAGTGAACACATGGACCCCAAAGGCCAGCTGCAACCATGCAGGAATGGAGGGATAAGACCATCAGGGCGACAGCACTGGGGCACTGCGTGTGATGGTAGAGGCTGAGCTTGCACAGTCCTGTAGGCTGTGATATGAATGGAACCCTCAGCGTAGCACAACAGCAGCCGTTTACTTAGCCCGCTGAAAACCTGCAGGTGGGGCGGTCAGTGGGGCCTTACAGAACTGCAGGTCTTGCAGGTGGAAGACCGCATGTGGTTCAGCAGGGAGGCAGGGCTGAAATGCAGGTGGATGTGGCACAGCAAAGACACCTCCCCAAGCAGGCGTCTCTGCTTCAGCAGGCTGGGCCCCAGGCAGGAGACTCTGAGGCTGGTTGCTAATCCTGTGGTGCTCAGCCCAGGCTGGGTGGCCATTGTCTGTCTCCATCAGATCACTGCCCCTTCTTCTCCTTTTAACCCTTCCTTTGTTTATGGAGAGGTTCAGGCCCCTGTGAGCCAGCGCTGTGCTGGTGCTGTGTGCCTGACTGCCCTTGAGGGGTCCTGGTGCAAACCTACAGCTGGGATATAGGGGGATACGAGGTGTGGTGGGAGGATGGACAAGGGGGTCTGGGGAGGCTCCCCACATGGGACCATCTTGGCAGCAGCTGGAAAGGTTGGGGGAGTGGGGACAGATACGGGAGCTGGGGGCGCAGGTGGAGAGAGAAGCAGGCATTGCAACAGCAGAGACTGGCTCGTGCAAAGGAAAACAGGGGTACTGCTTTGCCACTGAGGACTCCAACTCAAGGACTCCACTTAAGCTCCAGCCTCTGAGACGTTCCTCAGCATCAACAGGAATCTGGTGAGCTGAGACAAAAGTGCCCTGAGTTGTCCATTCAATCTGCACATGACTCGGGGAGTGGCAGGAAGGGCAGGCACCATGTCAGGCAGCCCTGGCACCCTGCCCCCCTCCCCGGGAGACAGAGAGGCCCCATCAGTCACCTTTCCGAATTCTCAAGCCCACTGTGGGGTTAGGCCCAGCTCTGTGGAGCAAAGAGGAAAAGTTCT